AATATCAATTATATTTTATATAAAGGTAAGTATTCATTATATCAATAAAAAGTAAAAAGTTTTTTTTTGAAAATAAATTACTCAAATTAATCATGTTGACAATGTCATTAATTTTTATTAACGTAATTCTTTACATGATACATTTATTCATATAAAAAATACACAATTTTAATTCATAATAACATGGATAGTTAAACAAACTTTGATTCAGCCAGTAACATAATATCATTTATTGCCAATGCACTCTTGCAGGGTTATAATATCCTGTTGCAATTTTTGCTCATGTTCATTTGAGTCCTTATTGCTCAGATATTCTTGCAAGGAGCTTTTCATGCACTCGCATTTTGCCTTGATACTGTCAGCCTCGTCATTTTTGCCATCCGCGGTTAATTGTCTTATAGATTCCAGCGCATTTGTAGCCAGCTCAGTTGCCGCTTTTATTAAAGGCATGTTTCAATAGCAAAATAACTATAAATAACTAAAACACCAGTTAAAAATTAAAGTATTTGATTTAATTTATTTTAGAGATACACTAACCGTAATATAAACTTATATTTCAAATGGTGTTAATTTATATAATAATTTATGTGTTACATAATATAAGATAATGTTGCTAGTTTAAATTAGGTATTAATATTATTATACCTGTATATTGTCTGTATATGATATCAATAATCCCACACTTATACAAACCAATTGAATAATTATGATAAAATTGTATTATGATAAATTTATAATTATTTTAAATTAGCTAATGTTAAGAATAAGTATACTTTTTAAAATTATATATAATAAAAATAAAAATAATTTACATATTCATATTATTAATCAAATATGAATATTATAATTTAATAATTATTATATATTTTACTAACTTTAATACTATAATTGTCATTAATATAATATAATCATTTATACAATATTGTTATCTTACAATAGACGTAAAATAATTTTAGCATACTCATGAATTTGTATTGTTATCAAATACTTGACATTTATTGAAATAAATTACAAATGCTATTTGTTACACTTTTTTTAAATAAAATAATTTTCTAAATTATATATACAATATTTATTTATAAGTTTGCTTAATATTTAATATATGGACTACCGGTTGCATGATAATCCTATGTATGTTTTAGGAATAATCTAAGCAAATTAGAATTTTTTTGTAATTAAATTAAACATAGTTTTAATATAAATTGTTTGGTTACAATATAAGTAGAATATGCAGCATTTATTACCTATTAGCTGTATTTAGTTTTGCTTGTATTTATTACCTTACTAACATATAAATATGCACTTAAATCTACGATATATTTGCTAATAAGTTGTAATATAATTGTTTATATTTTAGGTAGAATATATTTCACGAGATCTCTTTATACTGTGTAATACAACTTCTAACTATAATAATTTTATTAAATTAACTAAAATTAAACATAATAATATAATATAATATACTTAGTTTTATATTGTTAGAAAACTGTAATTGTGTATAATTCCATAGATTACTGCATGATGTATTGCATTTAAGATTATTTAACAAATATTGATAACAATCTTATTTAAATACATTATAGCCCATAATATTTAACAAATTATATACCAAATTGGCTAAAATTTTGTTAAAGAAACATATTAATAGTTATATAAAAAAATAGTTGCAGTTATTGGGACGCGAACTCACGTTCTCTTATATTAATTGACATATTTCCGTAGCGGTAGCGCCACTTATGGCAAATTCATTTGTTATTTTATACAGTCTTTCATTGAATTACTGTATTAACCTGTATATTTTAGTCATACAGTAGTTTTCTAGAATGGTTTTAAAATTAATTGTAAAAATATAACAACTTAATTAATTGACCAGGTATGTTTTAGACATTACTAATGAATTATTGTATTAGTATTAGTTATTTAATTAACGAAAATTAATCAGTTTATTTAAACTAATGCATATTAGATTATTGCTTATATAATGTGCAATACATAAAATATTTACAATAATTTTGCCGATATATTACCATGGTAACAGCGCCTTATTTAAAGCTTATATCAGAAAAACAAAAAATGATTTGTTTTATTTAATTATATTAGCGTTGTGTTAATTTTTAATTAAATTATGTGATGATATTCAAACAAATTTTAATATTACAAACACATTTTAAGTATGTAGTAATATAAATAATTGCTAAATGAACTAAATTTGATAAAAATTTTATATTGATAGTGTTTTCTAATGTATGTATAAATTAATTATTTAGCACTATGATAATTTAAATAATTATTTTATTGTACAATAAAATATTTAATTCAAATTATATTATAAAATTATATGAAAATGTAAATTAAATTGAAATTTTTTTAAAAATTTATTTTTATTTTTTAGCTCAAAATGTCGACAAAAATTAATGAATCAAACAAACGGCAAGTTTACTGGAAAAACAGTTTTGACCGTTTTGGCGATGACTTGTGTCAACAAATACTGTCTTACCTCCCATTCCCACAGAGATTTACGTTTGAATGTCTGTCCAAACAGTGGCAACGAGTCATATATGAGACACAGAATATTCTCGATATCAACGAACTTCACAAACAGCTATACGATTACGACAAACAAACCTCAATTGATCAAGATCGATTTGAGATTATATTACGAAAATGCCCAAATATCATCATGCTCATCAACCGTTTTGAAATGAATGAGTCTGCGTTTGAGTTAATTATCAAATACTGTATTAATTTGAATGCAATTGAATTGGCGTTTGATACTGAGCTAGGTATTACTGATGAGTTTGTTAATAGGTTTTTTGCTGTTTATTCAAAACAATTGAAAGTTATCAAGCTAACTGTTAGTCAATCACTGTTAAGTTGTGTCGAGATTAATCTAAAAAATTGTACTAGCTTAGAAAGTTTCAATATTCACCGTAATGATTATTCAAGCGATATATGCGTACTATCCGTGCTATTTGGGGCTAATACTACCGGTGCTGGTGGTGACTTAGTATATCATAATAAATTAAAACATCTCGATATTAATTATCACCAAGCTGATTCAAAATGTTTCTCAATATTTGTCAATCACTACAAACACGGCCTAAAATCAATTGACGTATCAATCGATCACTTTTGCGATGAGAGCTCTCTGGAAGTCCTAATGACATGTTTGTCACAAATGGTGGCATTAATTGAGCTAAAGATTGATTTTCCGTTAATACAGTTATCGACAAAAGTATTGCAAACTTTTGGTACAATTGGTACTAATTTACGGAAATTGAAAAAATTTGAAATCTATTCCGTAGGCCCTATGATGGGACTCATGGATACCATTAACGCGTGTTTTACTCACATTAAACGTTTGGATATAACTGCTTATCAATTGACCTATCTTATAAGACTTTCAAGATTCACCAAGCTAAGTCATTTGCGTATTAATGGCACAGGAGCATGTAAAACGGCATTGCACCCTGATATATTGCAAAATATTGTGAATAATTGCAAAAATGTGCGACACTTACATCTAACTATTAATCATTTTCATAATAAGCTAGCACAATCATTGGCATTACTATGGAAAGTGCAAACTGTTAAATTAAATCTATTAATTAATTATAAGGAAAGTTATTTGACTCATGATTTACTGATGGGGAAAATTGTCCTGTTTAATCCGGATTCAAGAATTGAAACAATCAAGGTTGAAAACGTTGGCGATAGGCATACATTTTGCTATAAACCACGTGAATTTACAAAAACATTATGTACGTTAAGCAAGCATAATTAATAATTACAATCATTTTGTACATTATTTTAATAATTTAGTCAATGTGTACTATTAATTAAATTTTTAATAACATTAAATAAATATAATTTATACGTTGAATGGTTTTTTTAATTAATAACTAGTACAGGGTGGTATGACAATTTCCGTTAAACAATTTGCGATACAAACTTCGTGTATAATGTAATTGTGGTTTTAATTCATACACATTTTGCCAGTGATTTTTACAAACCAATTCTAATAAATCTAAAATTTTTAAGATTTTAATAAACTTTTCTTGAGCTTCTTGTTCAGTTTGATATTTCAAACATAAATAACGTCTCAATAAGTATTTGTATAAATATTNATATTTCAAACATAAATAACGTCTCAATAAGTATTTGTATAAATATTGTTGATATCTTGAAATAGGGAAAGTAAATTTTTAATATGTTTATTGACTATATTAATTTAGTTTACCTTATCGTTTTAGGGTGTACTAGTTCAGTATAAATTGGATTAAACAGTACAATTGCGGATAACTAAAAATATAATTTTATATAATTTATATTAAATCCATAATATTGTATTATAATACTGTACTTACTATATCAATTAAAACAGGGTCATTTCTCCATTCATCGATAAATAAACAGTAAAATCTTATAAGCAAATTATAAATATCCCTGGGCAAATCCTTGATATGTTTAAAATCGCATAAGATATTTAAATGATTACCCTAAAATTAAAAATTTAAATAAATATAATATAAAACTCATTCATATAAATAACACTGTACATACCACCGTAAATACAAATTGCTTTTCTGTAATTAAATAGTAGGGTGCCCATCTTAACAGGAATACAGGCATTAAGTACTTTTTAAGTACTCCTCTATCGGTGTCGCATATACAATTAAGTTCTGTTAAATTTAAATAAATTTGCGCGTACAATTTAGCATAATTATTGACTACAGGTGAGTAATAGCATTTGTGTTCAGACATTTCTTTTGAGTATGTGATCGCAAATTCTGTGACGTAATTTAGGGTAACGTTAGTTGCGTGTAGTAATTGTTGCAATTTCCGACCCTCTAGTTCAGTAAATTGATTCTGGTAATCTGAGATAGGTTTGTCCACTGCTTTACATATTGGCAAATGAGAGTCCAAATAAACAAAATTTTTATCGTGTGATACGTCACTCGAAAGCTCATAATTAATATCATCAGTAAAATCGGGAAACTCTATGATAGAGTCGCTGCTACTTGTTCCCTGGTCATTGTTAACACCTGAACTTATATTAATGTAAGTGTCAAAAACTGTATCCCCTTGGTTAATGAACTTCAATTCATTTCCTTTTTCATAATAAACAGGGTGATCCTGAAAATATAATTTATGTTTATGAATAATCTATTAAAAATTGTTAATATATTACCAAATATTTCATTCCCATTGCATAACACTTATTGAGGCGACACCTTGCACATTTTTTCCTATTTGCCTTATTGACAGAGCATATTTTACCAAATCGACATACCAGAGCCTGATTAAAATAGTAAATTAAAAATACTTATTTTTAAAAACAATTATTTATACCTTGTTATCATGATTCCTATGGAAAAACACTTTACACGAGCAACAGGTTATGCACTCATAATTATAGCCTAATTAAAACATATATTAATTAACATAATGAAAAAGAGTTAAATCATTACGGTTGTTTTTATAAAATTTACCTGATGCTATATCCCCGCAAATTAAGCATTCCAAAAACATAATTTTATAAATAATATAGTATTAATTTGCAATGTTTACTAAATTATTAGTAATATTACACTACACAAAATAATAACTTACAAAAATACTAGTGCCATATTATATATTTCCATGGTGATTATCTAGTTGATGATGATATCATACATTCACTTAACATACAGTAATAGTTTTCAATACTACTATTTGTGTCATTTCTAGATTTATTTGTTATTTTGAAAAAAAAATATTAATCCTAGTGAATATAAAATAAATATTTACATAAAAAACATAATGATTTTGTGAACATAGTCTTAAACTAAAGTACATGCAAATATCGGCACTAATATGAATTTGAATTATCATGTAATATAATTTAATTAGTAAAAGTTATTTCTAGTATAACAAAATTAAAATTCACTAATAATATAATATTATGAATTAGTATTAAAATCAAATAGATTTTAGTGTCGGTATTTGCCTGTACTCTAGGCTTATCTATAGTTTATGATATTTGTACACAAAATACGTATGCAGTTTAGGGGAGGGGTTCATGCCAAAAAAGTATGAAACCTTATGTTATATTGGGGAGGGGGTTATGGGATAGTATATGTAAGTTAATTTTAGCATACCGAATTACCTCTCATAAGATTGCCCGCAATACTATCTGAGTTTCTGAGAAGGGGGGCAATGCTACCCGAATAGTATAGCACTCAATTTTTGGTCAATTTTGAAATACATTACCAAATCAGTTAGTATTGCATTAATGAGTCAAAAACAGTAAAAATTTTTAAAAAATTGAATTTCGACTAAAAAACATTAACACATATCCACTTCCTATCTGTCAATGTGTTTAAACATGGGAGTACATCAAAATCCCGAAAAGTAAAATCTCGAAATACATAATCTCCATAATTATATAATCTAATTTTTAGCTATTATATTAACTTTTAAAACATTTATTGTACAAAATATTTGCAAATGTGCTTTATCACATAGAAATAAAAGGAAAAACAGCCTATCAAGAACGAAAAACTAACCAAAATACTTATAAAAAGTATTTTATAATTAAAATTTTCTATTTTGTGTTTAGTTTTAATTTATTTTATACATGTATATAATTATATAATTAACCAAATAATTAAATATATTTTAAAATTTTCGAGATTTTAGTATTCGAGATTCTGTTTTTCGAGTTTTTGTGTGTATACGGTTTAAGTTAGTAATGTCTCAAAACACTGATTTGTCGACAATTTAAGATATGAATAAAGATATGAGTGATCGTATGAATGAACTCATGAGTGAAGACATTACCGATAAGGCAATAAATCTAGTGTCTAATAGTGACGATAGTCAATGAGCCGACAGGTCTTACAGACACGGAATCAGATGACGAAGAATCCGAAGAAGTGATCGAATTTATTGACGAATCAATTGAACCACAAGTCTAATCATATCTTTTAAATAATTTCTACTTATTTTCGATTCAATTGTAATGATTAGATTAGTCTGTAATTGAATGAAAACTTGATTTCAAATTATATACCCCCCTTCTCAGAAACTCAGATAGTATTGCGGGCAATCATATGTGAATTTCTGATAGGGGGGCAATACTATCCAGGTAACATTGCCTGCGGTTTCGGTGAACTCCAAAATCACTGATTATCACATGGTATTGCGGGCAATCTTATGAGAGGTAATTCGGTACGTACTTTTTGGATGGGCCTAATATATTTATATATATAAATTTTTTATATATATAGTCGATAATGTTTTATAAAAAGTAATTATTATTTTCACTATTTATATATTTGTTAATTTATTTATATGTTATTTATGATTGCCAGTACAATGCGTTTGTGTAAAATTTGTCAATGACAAATTAATATATAAAATTAATAAACAGGAAATCTTTAAATTAAATAAATTGGCTAGCAACAGAATTAATATGTCAGTGTAAAATTATAAATACGATTATAAAACTTACTAAGTATCAATATGATTAAACTAGGTAAATAGTTTTTAAATAGAAATTAATTCATAAATTTATATCACAGACATCAATTCAAAACACACATTTCAATTATGCTTGTACAATTAATAATGTTCACCAGCATTGATTTACAATATAAAAGCAATAATGAAATGTGTGTTTTGCATTAAGATCACTCATACACTTGTAGCTAAAATGGTTGCAATCATATTCAACATGGTACTTTTATTTGTCGACGTACAAGCAAGTCACTGTTCAGTGTATCTTGACTACAAAGTAGCATATCTAAAATGTCACTGTTTTGCACTCAGTGGAATTGAACCTGGTGATATTAATACAATCATCGAGCAAGTACGTCAAGCAAATAAAACTCATCATGATAAATTGTTGTGTACGCGTGGAGATATTAGCATTAATACTATGCAATTAAATAGCCTGGACCCAAATACATTCAATAATACCTTTTTTGACAAGGTCAAATTGTTACGTATAATGATTCCAATAATTAACGTTAAATCATATTCGGTATTATATAAAATGGACAATTTAAATTATTCAAATAACATTGTTAACATGCACAATGAGGTTAATAATATAAACAACCTAGAATACCTTACTATAATTAACACCAAAATTGTGTCCGATAATGCGTTGGCGACCTAGTACATTTAGAAAATCTTAGTTTTAAAAATGGTCTCGAAATTATAGGCACCGACGCATTTAAAAAGTTGACCTCGCTAAAGTATTTATTTATCCATGATCATAATATTATGAAAATAGCGGACATGGCGTTTGCATTTGACTACACTTCCCTACCCCTGGAGTTTGATATAAGTCCAGATTTGGCAAATAATATGATCCTGCACAATATACCTCTTAAGGTTTTAACGTTTTTTAATAGACCTGTTAATTGGACATTCAGTGAGTATGATGAAATTGGGCGAGATGGTTTATGGTCATTTTTTGAACCAAACGACAGCCAATAGTATACATGTATTGCAAATAGATTGCCTTGATGAACGTAACTGTTGGGTAATGGGAAATAAACACCGTGATCAAATAAAGTATGAATGCTTTAAATGTCGTTATCTTATGTGTGATTGTTTTGCAAATTATGCTTACCTTGTACATTATAATTTCAATTTGATATTTTTATTAGTGTTAATCATTTTAAAGTATCATATTTATGATATTATTAAATGTGTTTGTACTAACAATTTTTAAATTATAAACATACTGTACAGTATGTGATATAGATATTAACATAGATATTAATTTTTAACATTATTAAATCGATCTAAATAGATTATTTATGTTTTTAACGTATAGTATTACAGTAATACCCTGTATATATCTGTATAACATAATTAATACAATATATATAAATATTAAAAACACTATTTTATGAAACATTATATTGCTACATAATTTATTTTATAAAATATAATTAACTTTAATTACTAATTGTTTAACTACTTTTGGGTTATATATTTTTGCAATAAAGTTTACTAAGAAAACATATTAATTTTATTACATTATATACAATGTATTTGTTATTATTATATATTTAATTAAAATTAATAGTAGTTCCCGGCATAATGTATTTGTGTAGAAATCACCAATGTCAAATTAATTCCTAACCCCTATATCTTGAGACATCTTTTCTTAAGCTGTCGTTTAGAACATTCAGATTTAGCTCAAATCATAGCTCTAAATAATTTTTGCTTGGGCCCAGCTTAGCCAATAGTGAGCGTGCAGTACCAGTACACCTACACTGTTGACTGGTTTGTGAGCAAGCATATGACACACCAGTGATATCAATATTTGTATTTAGTATTAAACTATGTATAGTTTTAAGCAAATGTAGAGCTGAGGTCTGGCACCAACTTTATCTTAAAAGTGAAGCTACAGATCAAGATAGAGCGTTAAGAACATGACTTTAAACAGTATTAATTAATCGTATGAAAACAAAGAGTAAATATGTACTTTTGGCATTAATACCTCTTATATACTTATACATCAAATATGGTTTCAGTAATAAAGTAATTAAAATATTTAAAAATAGCCGTTCGATTCTAATCTATGTCAAGTTCCAGTACAAATACATTACAATGAACTATAGGTAATACACTAATAAACCAACAGTTCATAGTTCAGTATTGAATTTGGACTTGACATAGATTATAATCGAACAGCTTGTATCAATATAAAACAATTTAATGTTTTAATGTGTTTTATGTAAGTAAGTCAGCTAATCGTAACCATTCACTAAGGGGGGTGATTTTTCATATTAATCACTAACACGAGTTACATAGGTGATTCATATGTGAATGCCTATTTAGAAAAAAGGTTACAATTTGCAACTGGTAGTAGTAATAAATTGCTGTAACTTAATACAGTACATTAGGCATAAAGTTTTTGTAATAGGTTTATCTGTTTATCGCTCTAAAATAACAGTTGTACTTGTTACTTATTGTACTTACTTTGCAACCGGATAACTACAGTACTTTACTGTCATGAACAGTGTGATATTTATACACACTGTAACATTTAAAATTTCATTTAATTCAGCAATGAGCTATTGAGTACTTAACACCTGGGTTACTAGATAATAATTACTAATAAATCCCTAATACCGTAATACATCTGATAATAAATGATTTATTTTCAATAAAAAAAATTAGTAGTATTTTTAAACAATTGTATATTTATGAAGCAGGGTATAATAAATTAAAATAAAATGAAACTTAAAATATTTATATCATTTTCAAAGCTCATCGTTATTTTAAATGTTGTTAATGTTTATNAAAAATTAGTAGTATTTTTAAACAATTGTATATTTATGAAGCAGGGTATAATAAATTAAAATAAAATGAAACTTAAAATATTTATATCATTTTCAAAGCTCATCGTTATTTTAAATGTTGTTAATGTTTATGAAACAAATAATAATGTAGTAGGTGAAATTAATAATTATAATAAAACACATTATCTAACTGCGGATAATTGCATAGAAAATGAAGTTAGTGTAGACCACGTATGCCGGTGCGCGCCTAACTATCACCGTAGTGACCCGGCACAAAATTGTACCAAGTACACTTGTGATATAAATTACGATTGCTTAAAATCATGGGACGCCAACCGGAAGTGCCTGGATGGTAATTGTAAATGTTTGGACGATACTTATCGTGAAAACACTAACAATGGACGTGTATGCACATACAATTGGAAACCTGGATGTAGCAAGGACAATGATTGTTCAGTTAATGAGAGGTGCATAGGGCAACAGTGTCATTGTAAGCCTAATTTCAAATGGCGTGCCTGGGCGGAAAGTTGTGTCCATTTTACGTGTACCGATACTATATCGTGTTGGACCCATGACATGGTGTACGATTTCATGGTGTGTAATAATGGCACCTGTATGTGCCCTGATGATTATAAAGATGATTATGGTAATAGTGGGAAATGTAAGCTTGACCTTGGTGATAAATTTAATTGGTTTCTATGGTTAATAATTGGGCCTGTAATGTTGTTTGGTTTTGTATTTATTGTCATTGCCTATTTTACACACCGTTATCGTAAGCGCCGTGGTTTTTAAATTAATAATTATAATAGTATGATCAATTTTTAAAAATATTTTTATAATAATATTGT